GCCAAAACGAATTATGTGGCTCAAATGGTTCTTGAGAAACTTTGAAAAAAGCAGTGTCATGTTTGAGTCGATTTTGCAAGTCAAAAAAAACACGCAATTGTAAAACTTCTTGAAATCAAGACTTTTTTGAGAAAACTGCCAACATTTCCTTATCGATGGTACACTCTCGAAAAAGGACATTTAGTTCTCTCTGGAATGGTGTAAAATTGAACGTTTTGTTCATTTTCCCTCCGAGAAATGAGCAAAAACGGAACGAAAAACATCAAATTTTGGCGTAATCTTGCACCTAAGTGTCTGATATTCAAATTTCGCTTTCTACGTCAAAACTACTCGAATTTCCTCACTCGTGCTATTTTGACTGAATCGAATTTCCATTATCTATCCAACGATGCCAAAACGGATTCTGTGGCTCAATCACGGCTTGAGAAACTTAGACAAAAGCATCGTCTTGTTTGAGTCGATTTTACAACTGAAAAAAAAACACGCAAATCTAAAATTTGTTGAAGTCATGACTTTTTGGAGAAAACTGGCAAGATTTGCTTATCGATAGTCCACTTTCTAAAAAGGCTATTTATTTCTCTCTAAAATAATGTTAGAATTATGGTTCTTGCTCATTTTGCTTTCGTGAAATGAGCAATAACGGGACGGAAAACATGAATTGTTGGCATATTCTTGCACCTAAAGGTCTGATATTCAATTTTCGCTTTCTGGGTCAAAACTACTCAAATTTCCTCACTCATGTTGTTACGACTGAATCGAATTTTCAATTCTCTATCCAACGATACCAATGTCATGTCATGCAAAAAATAAATGAAATAAAAATCATGTTAAAGTCGTGGTACTGCATGATGTTCCTTTATCGAAAAACTATCCCATTATAGCTAAGTATGATTTGGGATATATGGCACCGCGGCTGGCTCGAATGAATACGTCTAAAAAATACCTTTTACTTCTAAAACATTGAAATAAGCGCTTTATCACTTGTGAATTCAAATGTTGATGCCACTGAAGCTGCGAAATGAGATTAGCTTGTTTGATACTATCCGGAACGGACTTTAAAGAGAATTGCTTACCTGAGAAAAACTTGCAAAATAAACCTTTTTGAGAAGTGAAAGTGACGAAAATCTGTTGACCCTTCTAACACCAACTTCCTACGAGCATTAATTTCTAGTTCTTTTGCTAATTACCGAACTCTGGAGTGTTTCAGATTAAATATGAAAATGTAGTTTGTCACAACATTAATTTTGTGTTACACATTTAGTTCAGTATTTCAAACCTTTAGATTATAATTCGACTTGAAATTGGAGACAACTGATCTCTAAGAAATACTTAGTGTTATCACATGCAGAATTAATTCCAGCAAGGAACAAAAATTTTGTATGTACGGAAAAAACCACAGCAAAGCACTTGCACGGATTTTTGTCCGAGAATAGTTCTATTGGAGGTAATTTGACCAGTTTGCTACTAAAAGAAATTCTAGCTCCCAAATAGACTGAAAGAAGATCCGTCTGTTTGCACAGAACATACCCCCTGGGGGGGGATATTTTGTGGTCTGTTTGTTTTCCAATTATCACAGTAGCCAAGACGTTACGTTAGTAAAAACCAATACGCTGTAATAGAGTGCAATATTATGCCCACAGCCTCTGATTAGTTACAGTACATAAGTGAATAAAAATGTCATATAAAGTTAGACAAGTTGAACCAGAGGCTTCATATCTAAAATACAAGTTTAATTCAGAAAATTATTTTTCTGAATACTAAATTATTATACTTTGAATGGAACGTTCAAGGTTACATAAATGCTGTCGGCATGACTATAGGTAGTTTATAGAGTATGGTTAAATCCTAGATTAATATTAGAAATATAATTGGAAACTTCAAATATCCTAACACGATTCATACAATCGTCTACGCACATGTATGAGCATTTCGCAGAAATGTGCATCAATAGACAATGTTGGGAAATGTTTCACAGAAACGGTTGTAAACAAGCTCATTTAGTATCAGCATATAAGTGAATCCATTTTCATTATCAAGATTTTTTCTTTTGGTTCTGAAATGGCTTAGTTTATTTAAATAATTGAAATAGAAAATTTTAAACATTTCAACCGTTCAACGGCAAAAAAATAGTTACAATAAGTATCAGTAATAAAGATTCCCCAACAAATGAAATAGACGAACGTCACAACGAAGTCCTTAACATTACACTGAAATTTCCTACTGCTTACTATGCCAGTGTCGTAATTCTTCAGTGGCTGTTTTGTTGTTTGATTTGAACATTGCAAAGTCCCTTGAGTACAATGTCGTCCGCAATTCAGCCGATGTCGGCTTTAAGAAAGGATAATATGCAACATAAACAAAACAATTATGTAAATTTTACCAACACATTTTCACGGCAATTAAAATTTGCAAGTAGTTATAACATGCATGGTTCACGTATGGCATTTAACCGCCCGTCTTAAGGTTTAAACATTATATTCGTATTTTAAAAAATCGAACCTTCCGAATGTCTCAGCAAAAAATGTGGAATTAATGGTATTTATGCGTTTCGTTTAAAATAAATCTTCATCGGTCAGACACAGTTGAAAGTAGATTTATTGTAGTTTTCATTGGAAGTTTGAGAATGAAAAACTGAACATGAACTGAAGATTTCCGAACTATCCCGTCCATCGTCATTAACAATTTACTCGCTTGCACGTAAGTTTAAAACATTTTTAATTCAGTCCAGATGTATCATAGAAGGGTAGAAAACTTGTTGAAAAGTCTGTGATTGGCCAATATCCAAGTTGATTCAGTTTCAATCTACAATCATTTTTAAGAGCCGCTACTTCCACACAACGACATTTTAGATGTCACAGATTTAGATTGGACCACCGCTTGTAGCATTGAATAGGTCAAACATGTCATGATATAAACAGGAAGTACAAAAATACTACAAGAAGTAAAAAAATATATTTTAAATTTGCAATGGGAAAGACGGCTCGAGTGCTTCATAACTTTCATCGGCAAATACAGTTTATAAATTGTCCGTGTTCCCTCATACAATCGATACCTGCATATATTTTAAAACTGACTGTAAATAAATATTTATTGAATACATTTGAAACTAAGTTTTCTCTTCAAATGACCGAATTAATCAATCGAAATAAGCTACAATAAAACAATTTGTATCTGATTATCATCACACAAGGAAAACTTTTGAAATATTAAACATTCAAGGAAAATGTAAAATCTTGCCCATTTTTGTGCAATTTTACAAATACACATTCAATATCAGCTGAAAAACGTACAACTCTATTAATTCTGAACAAACCAGAGTCATTAATTAGACAATGGATGTGCCTAAGCTAAGTTATCTATTACCGTTGCTCCAGTTTCGATGTTCGAACGTGCAATGTTTTAAAAAGAAATCCTCAAACTGAAAACGATTTTAGCGAAATGGCATTAAAATGCTGTACATGGTTATACAATTTCCGGGCCTACAAATCTGAAAATTGGCAAGTTTAATTTCAATCATTCAGTCGATATTGCCAACGACAGATAATGTACAACTATAAGAATACACAAACCTAGCGCCCCTATCATATAAGGTCAACAAGAAAAAAGTTTATTAAAAAAAATATTGCGATACCGAAAACAGTTTACGTTGAAGAAACACAGTTTCTGAATGCAAATGTTTCCTGCAAATAGCATAACTTTAAAAATTGCTTTTATTCTTATATTTTTTATATATTTTTGGATTCGTTACCTAGATTTTAATCGCCTGGTTATATTTAGCGCTCGCTTTAATTTTCTGATTTTTTGATCGTTTACTGCTGCCAATCGCTCAGTTGGCTATGTTTTATTAATCGGTATGGCATAACTCATCAATATTCACGCAAATCAATAATTGATATCGTTATTAATTATTTGGGTATTTAGGGCAAATCTACACCACCTAATGCATTGCAAATAAACTGCTCGTAACTGTAGCCCGTAATTATGTACAGCAGAAATTGATGCACTGGAAACAAGATATGTAGTTCATTGAAGGTCTAATCACATAATGCAACTGCCGCACTGAATTGGATCTGAGGACGAGATAAATAATTACATTGATTCTGCACTTAATAACAAATCCTTAAAACATTGTATTTAGTAGATACGTTTTTTGAAATATAAAATTCTCGAACATTTTCTGGTATAGGCAAAACATTTTCTGTTAATTTCGTTGCCTACAAAAAATGTTATCACCTTTAACACCGTTAAAATAATCTAGCCAGAAACATTGCAAAAAAAAACTTTTTTAAATTTAAATCTCAGAACATGGGTTACGTTCATACTGTGCTCAATTGTACTCTGAATAAGATTAATTCAGTGAAATTAAGCTGGGAAAAAAATACCCGTCAGGTAGGTATGGAAGAAAATAAAGAAAAACAATCAGCGAAATTGGAAAAGAAATATTATTTTGCTGACAGAAACAGAAAAAAACAAGCAACATTTGCAAATATGCAAATTAATATACCATTAGAATTTTAGGAAAACGTTGTTTGAACGGACGAGAATATATTTAATATTTGGAGCTGATGTAGAGAAAAGTAAATGTGAAAACGAACCCGAAACATTTAAAGCCAACCCTAACACGGTTGTGCACGTTTAATGATCTAGGGGTCTTTGATAGCAAATCGAGTTACAGAATTGGATTTTATTAATTTTATTAAAGGGCGTGTCGTGACTTATATATTCTGAAAAGATACCTCAGCAGGGCCGGGATATAATCCCCATTCACCATTAAATTCAACTCAACAAAAATAAGCAGTAAAGTTTGCAAAAGCTAAATAGCTGTTAAAGTTACAGACAAAGAGAAGTTAGTAAACGGGTAATTAAAAATTGCTTGCGATGCAAAATAAATTGTTTCACTCAATGCTAAATACGTTACAAAAAGTGTTCAGCTTAAAGCGCGGTCTGAATCAGTATTCAAAGTAGTAAACGAACTCTATCGCTCATGCCACTTTTTCTAAATTTCGCTCATGTGGTTAAACTAAAGTTTATCCGTTGATAATTGCGTTTACTCCAGTCAACAAAAAATGTAAAAGAAAAATCTTTGAATCAGCCAAAAATATACAGATATATTAAATATAAGCCATTTAAAATAATAAATTGTTGCTATGAACCAGCAACCAACGCAAGACTTATTCCAGAGAAACAAACTGACCACATCTGTACAGACAGATGTGAGATCCCAACCCTTCTGTAATGATGATTTCAGAGAGCAAAATAATCGAGAGTTTATAGCGGCGCGGTATTTTTCACTGATGCCAAGAAAGCCATTAACTGTTCGTGTTGCCAAAGCACTGTTTTTCACGAAAAACTATTAGCGCAATCTGTTACAAGCATAATCTGAGGTATAGCTTTGGATGGCAGTGATTGAGTGAGAAGCTTTCATTAACGATTGGAAACATATTCACTTAATAGTCTAAGGGTTTATGAATCTATTTGCATTTGATCCCGCTTGTCCCATATAAAAAAGTTCCAGTGACATATTAGTTGGACGCTAAAGTGATGTTTTTGTTCAACGCGTTTTTCAGGGGTTACTGATTTAAGTGAAATTTGTCTTCTTTCTTATTCACATAGCTAAATAGACTAAATAGCTAATATAAACTACCTTTATTTCCAAAGTTTTTCATTCCATGTTGTTACATAAGCTGATGATACAATGAACAAAATGATAGCAAATTTAAACTTTTTATTTTGTTTTCTAGATCCTTAAATAATCCATAAGCGTCAAAAGGTAAATTGTCTCGTTTTTTCGGTTGCTTTATCCTTGGCATGTTTCCATTGAAGAAGATTGGGCAAATGTGCATTGAAAAATTAAATTAACTTTTACTTTTAAATCGCTCTTTCTGCCATTTACTAAAATATTAAATTAGTATTTATATCAGTTTATTCTCAGAACCTTTTTTAAGTTCATTTCTTAAAAATTAAGCGGAATAAAGGCATTCTAAATAGAAAAAAATACTCACAAAACAACGGTAAGAAAGGCCGTCAAAGAGTCCATCGAAACCATTATGCAAGGTAGGTTGGATGGTAAAGAAGCATCGAAATGTCGGAGGTAAGCAGAAATCGGGGCTCAGAAATATAAGAGGCTGGACGAGTATGAGCGCGCCTGAGTTGTTCCACGTAGAAGAGGTGAACTCATGAGAAAAAGAAGAACTTTGTGTAAGTATTCATTACTTCGGATCCGGATAAGAAAGGAGTAGGTAGTAAGTCGAGATCGAGTAACGATTAGTTGCTTTTTTCCTACCTCTAATACTGCGATTCAGCATTCGTGATACCATAATATACCTTCATTTACATTAAAGCGTTTACCATTTTTATTGAAATTTTATTGTTACCAGCTTATCGCAACTAACCCTGTGTATAATGCTTATAAGTAGGTATATATTTCATCGAGTTGATCGATTATTTTGTACCTACTTGAGCAAAAACTTAGCAATGTCAGACCAATACCTATTGTAATGATAGTATATCGGAAAATGCATCATCACATAATGCAATAACAAGTATATACTTGCACCATTAACAACATGCCTATGCACTAAAATGCTAATCGTGACTGAGTACATCGATGCAATCACTATTGATTGCACTCTTATTAATTGAAGCAGTTCACGGTGTATAAAGGGTGAACACATGTCCGCCCTACATGTCGTATTTGTTGAGAAATTATCAGAGAGAATCTGCGCATATATCACATCAAAATGCAAATGACCATCCAACAGCAAAATTCGATTCCATGAGCATGATTGATATTGCTGACCGAAAACTGTATTGAAACTACCCCGGCTGTTTTTACTATTAATTGTGCATAATTTTTCAATAATATTTATCTACATCTTTTACTCATTTTATTTCAATATTTCTACATATAAACTAAGCATATTAGTTGTTGATTCAAGTGTTATTGCTGTTCATT